ATATGTTTCTTTTGTTTTTATAATACATATTCGTGTTGTTTTTTAGTTAATTTAACTGTTAGGTATGTATATAACAAACTGATTAATCTTTTTTTTGTTGTGTGGATTTTTTTTTAGGCTTTCATGTTTGAAGAACAAGATGAAGAAGAACAACAAGAAAAGAGAAGAAGAAAGAAAAATTCTGAAAAGAGAAAGAGAGAGCGAAGAGATAGAATAAGAAATATTTATTTAAGTTTTCAATTTTAAATTTAATATGTAACTACCTATTGGATTAATTTTGGAATTCCATATACTCGATTTTCTAAATGGAATTTTGTTTTATGTGATTGCTAGTTATGTCCTTAAGCCAATAAAGTGGCACAAGCAGAGAGGCCCAACCCAACTCTTCCCTAAACAGCCAATTATAATAATATATGAGCCCATTCAACTTTGCTCTGCTGATCGGCTCTTCATCGGCTCATCTGCCATCTTCTTCTCCAATTTCTGTCATCTTCATTCTCCAAAATCTAAACCACAAAGTCGAAAACTACTAAACCCTAACATCATCTCCGTTCGCACGCAATCTCGCACTCCAGTTCTCCGATCGCCGCTCGGTGCTCTGAAATCCCAAATCGCCGTTCAGTGCTCTGAATCCCAAATCGCCGCTGCACTCCCTCTCCCGCACACACTCGACTTGGCACTCGACAACGCTCGTCTTCTCTAGTAAGTTTGATAGCAAAATCCCATTCTACGGGCTGCAGTTGATTGGACCGGTTCATGCTCTCAAGGCTATCGTTTTCTCTCTTAGTCTCTTTCATCTTCTACCTCTTGATTATTGTATTTTATTTTTTCTGTTAATTACGGCAGTGATTTGTTGAAACTAGAGCTGCAATTTGTTCAAATTCTCCTGAAATTGTAACTAATGATTTTTTTTTTTTCATTTCTCTCTTTTATTGGATAACCAATAACCGAACCAATCCAACCGATAAATTTTTGGTTAAAAACCGAACCGAACCATAATTTTGGTTCGGTTTTCGGTTTGAAGGTTCGGTACGGTTCGGTTTTGACCGATTGAACAGCCCTAACTTTTTTCAGTCATAGAAGGCAGTAATGATGATTGCATCAAATATACAGGTATAGCAGACAAGACTGATTGACAAAAGACGAATACGATTTATATCACTCCGGCAGTGAGC